TTTCTGGGAAAATGTCCTCTGATAAGCATAAGTGTGATAAAAATGGTCAACTGACCGAAAGAGACAAAAAGACATTGCGCAGGATTGTGACCCAGAATAAGAAAACAATTGCTGTAAAAGTGACTGCAGAGCTCAATCTGAGTCATTCAAAGCCTGTGTCAAAAAAACTGTGCTGAGGGAACTCCATATGCAAAACACTAGCGGGCGAGCTGCAATTGCCAAACCACAAGCAACCGATATTAATGCTCAGAAGAGGAGAGAGTGGTGCAACACCCCTAAATTGTGGACTATCAATCAATGGAAGACTTTAATATGGTGACACTTGACAGGTCCCAGCAAACAGCAGTAGCAGTACAAGGCTTGAAGCTCAACTGAAGTCTCACACCTTTTTATCTCTTTATAGCCCTTTACCCCCCACAAGTTAAGAAATATGACTGATTTTTGCTTGGAAATGCATTAAAGTACCCTTTTCTCTTAGTAATAATGCTGCTTCCTACTCTCCTACCTCAGTGCTTTATACTGGCATTACTAAGTAACAGCCATATTCCTCAGCAAAGTGTCTTTCCATATACTTGTACAGCAGAGGAAAAGAGGGGTGTATCAGACCAGTTCTTTTATGCGGATTACATAGTCTAACATTGTTGCCTAGTGGACTGCCTTGTCATATTTAGACACCCTGTACAACTACAGGAAACTGAGGTTCAATGAGTTACAATGTTTTTCTGACTGCACATCTATTTCTGTGAGCCCAGTTGGGATTTAAACAACAAACTTTAGCAAACCATTTACACCTGGAGTTCTACTCTGAATCATTTGTTTCCATTCTATGGATTGCATTCTCCAAAATGCCAGTTACAGGATAGATAGAGACAAGATATTCCCACCTGCTACACGTGCAACAAAAAGGTCCGGCAGGAGATCAATTTCTATATCACTTAAAGTGGTAGTAAACGCTCTATTTTTACCTACAGGTAAGCCTATAATAAAGCTTATCTGTAGGTACAATTAGTATCTCCTAAACGTGCACTGCTTAGAAGATATTCTAGTGAGCAGAAGCCAGTGATGTCAGAGGCACATGCACTCTGAAGGAATTGCATACCCGTGCCGTTCCTTCAGAGCTGGGTGCCATGGCTGTGACTCCAAACAAGAGATACCTGTGCTCAAATCCCAAGAGCTAGTATATGCATTTATCCATCGGGTGCTAAAGGGGTGTAACCACGTATTAACACTAGATATTCTGAAGGACCCTCTGCACACTGGTATACAGTCAGGTCCATAAATATTGGGACATCGACACAATTCTAACATTTTTGGCTCTATACACCACCACAATGGATTTGAAATGCAACGAACAAGATGTGCTTTAACTGCAGACTGTCAGCTTTAATTTGATGGTATTTACATCCAAATCAGGTGAACAGTGTAGGAATTACAACAGTTTGCATATGTACCTCCCACTTGTTAAGGGACCAAAAGTAATGGGACAGAATAATAATCACAAATCAAACTTTCACTTTTTAATACTTGGTTGCAAATCCTTTGCAGTCAATTACAGCCTGAAGTCTGGAACGCATAGACATCACCAGACGCTGGGTTTCATCCCTGGTGATGCTCTGCCAGGCCTCTACTGCAACTGCCTTCAGTTCCTGCTTGTTCTTGGGGCATTTTCCCTTCAGTTTTGTCTTCAGCAAGTGAAATGCATGCTCAATCGGATTCAGGTCAGGTGATTAACTTGGCCATTGCATAACATTCCACTTCTTTCCCTTAAAAAACTCTTTGGTTGCTTTTGCAGTATGCTTTGGGTCATTGTCCATCTGCACTGTGAAGCGGCGTCCAATGAGTTGTGAAGCATTAGGCTGAATATGAGCAGATAATATTGCCCGAAACACTTCAGAATTCATCCTGCTGCTTTTGTCAGCAGTCACATCATCAATAAATACAAGAGAACCAGTTCCATTGGCAGCCATACATGCCCACGCCATGACACTACCACCACCATGCTTCACTGATGAGGTGGTATGCTTAGGATCATGAGCAGTTCCTTTCTTTCTCCATACTCTTCTCTTCCCATCACTTTGCTACAAGTTGATCTTGGTCTCATCTCTCCATAGGATGTTGTTCCAGAACTGTGAAGGCTTTTTTAGATGTCGTTTGGAAAACTCTAATCTGGCCTTCCTGTTTTTTGAGGCTCACCAATGGTTTACATCTTGTGGTGAACCCTCTGTATTCACTCTGGTGAAGTCTTCTCTTGATTGTTGACTTTGACACACATACACCTACCTCCTGGAGAGTGTTCTTGATCTGGCCAACTGTTGTGAAGGGTGTTTTCTTCACCAGGGAAAGAATTCTTCGGTCATCCACCACAGTTGTCTTCCGGGTCTTTTGGTGTTGCTGAGCTCACCGATGCATTCCTTCTTTTTAAGAATGTTCCAAACAGTTGTTTTGGCCACGCCTAATATTTTTGCTATCTCTCTGATGGGTTTGTTTTGTTTTTTTCAGCCTAATGATGGCTTGCTTCACTGATAGTGACAGCTCTTTGGATCTCATCTTGAGAGTTGACAGCAACAGATTCCAAATGCAAATAGCACACTTGAAATGAACTCTGGACCTTTTATCTGCTCATTGTAATTGGGATAATGAGGGAATACCACACACCTGGCCATGGAACAGCTGAGAAGCCAATTGTCCCATTACTTTTGGTCCCTTAACAAGTGGGAGGTACATATGCAAACTGTTGTAATTGCTACACCGTTCACCTGATTTGGATGTAAATACCCTCAAATTAAAGCTGACAGTCTGCAGTTAAAGCACATCTTGTTCGTTTCATTTCAAATCCATTGTGGTGGTGCATAGAGCCAAAAATGTTAGAATTGTGTAGATGTCCCAATACTTATGGACCTGACTGTATACCCTTTCAAGCAGACTATGCAATAAATAGGGATATTTGGTTCACACATATTGCAATACATGTTTAAGCTGGCCAATTGCGTCAAAGTAATCCCTCTATGGCCAGTCCTACTCTGCAATGCCTACGCAAATGCTACTGTGGACACAATGCCAACATAGGGGAAAAGACAAAGTGGGGGAGACTACCAGGTTGGCCAGCTTAAACATGTATTGCAATATGTGTGAACCAAATATCCCCATTTATTGCAGAGTCTGCTTGAAAGGGTATATACCAGTGTGCAGAGGGCCCTTCAAAATTTCTAGTGGCTGCGACTCCCACGCGCATGCGCTGGAGTTACGTCATTGCCGCTCGGCCATTTAGGCAGCCGCAGCCAGCAAACCCAGATGGAAGACTGTTTGAAGATGGAAACCTCTGCAGCGGTGACAGCGGGCCACTGGAGGGCTTCATTTCAAAGTAACTCATAATGTCATAACCCATGACTTTCTTAATGTGCTAGTACAGTGATGGCGAACCTTTTTGAGCCCGAGTGCCCAAACTGCAACACAAAACCAACTTTTTTATTTCAAAGTGCCAACACTGGAATTAATCACTTGCCTACCGGGCACTTCTACCCCCTTCCTGCCCAGGACAATTTTCAGCTTTCAGTGCTGTTGCACTTAACAATGACAATTGTGCGGTCATGCAACACTGTAACCATATGCAATTTTTATCATTTTTTCACACAAATAGAGCTTTTTTTGGTGGTATTTAATCACCACTGGGTGTTTTATTTTTTGCACTATAAATGAAAAAAGAGCAAAAAATTTAAAACATAAAAGGTTTCCTTTGCTCCTATTCTAAAATTTTGCAAACAGGTAATATTTCTTCTTTGATGTGCGTTGGTGAGGCTGCACTGATAGGCAGCACTGATGGGCATTGATGAGGCGGCACAGATAGGTAGCACTGATGAGGCGGCACTGGTGAGCATTGATGAGGAGGCACTGATGATGCACTGATATGCAGGAAATGATGGGCACTGACTGATAGCACCAACTGGAGGCACTGACAGACGACACTGACCGGCGGCACTGCTGGGCAACATTGATGGGTGGCACTGATGGGCAGCACTAATGAGTTGTCACAGATAGGTGGCACTGATATGCGGCACTGATTGGTGGCACTGATAGGCGACACTGATAATGGGTACTGATAGACAGCACTGATAGGTGGCACTGACTGACATCACTGCTGGGCACTGACTGGCACAACTGCTGGGCACTGACTGGTGGCACTGACTGGCAGCACTGCTGGGCTGCACTGATGGGCACTGGTGGGTGGCACTGGTGGGCACAGGTGGGTGGCACGGGTGGGTGGCAGTACTGGGCACAGGTAGGTGGCACTTCTGGGCACAGGTGGGCGGCACAGGTGGGTGGATTGCTGGGCACAGGTGGGCGCACTGCTGGGCACAGGTGGGTGCATTGCTGGGCACAGGTGGGCGCACTGCTGGGCACAGGTGGGTGCATTGCTGGGCACAGGTGGGCGGAACTTGTGTGTGGCACTGCTGAGCACCGATCATCAGGGCACTGATGATCAGTGACCCTGATGATCGGTGCCGTTCCCTGCTCTGACAACTGCCGGTTCTCGGCAGTACTTTCCTCACGATCTGACAGCGTGAGGAAAGTGCAGCCGAGAACCGGCATTTGCATTTCCCGGTGATCAGCGTGTCATTGGACACGGCTGATCACGTGGTAAAAGGCCGCTGTGATTGACCTTTTACCACGTCACGTGATCAGCTGTGTCCGTAGGACACAGCGATCACGGAGATCGCCCAGTGCGCGCCCCCAGGGGTACGCAGGAGAGCGCGTTCTTCCTCTTCTTCCTGGCGTGCCCACTGAGATGGCTCTGCGTGCCAGCTCTGGCACACGTGCCATAGGTTCGCCATCACTGTGCTAGTAGATGCATACTAGTACAATATGCCTTTATCTTACAGGGATAGTTTTCTTTAATCAACGTTTACTACTGCTTTAACCAAAAATATAAAACATTTTGTGTAGAGATAACGGGCATCATAGTAGTGTACCAGTGGTTAGCACAATGGTTAGATATGGATTACCTGCCCTAAGAAAGATTTAGCCAGATCAATGCAGGGCTTTTCATAAAAGTCAGATGAAAGGCGAATTTTCTCATTTAGGAAGTATTTGCTAGTGTCAGAATCCTTTTGCCTTGGAATTGTAGATTCTTCACTTGCTTTAAATATTTTTTGATTTTTTAATGTCTGTGTTTGTTTTCTTTTTGGAGCCATTCTAAAAAAACAAAAAAAGAAACAGAAAAAATGAATAACCAATTACAAGAAGAGAACACAAATACGAGGAGATTATGACAGACAGCAGCCAGTTTAATCATCATAATTGGGATATTATGCATAGTGAATCTATTACTGGCAGGTACTTTGGGGCAATTTAGCAAAACTGGAGCATCGTTGCGTGGCAACCAATCAGTTTTTATCTTTTATTTTCAGAGGGTTACTGCACTATGTCTGAGTAAATGTAATAGAGCTAAGGCAGCCTCAGAGACAATGTCATGGAGCTCTGAGTAAACTTTTTTTCTTCATCCCAAGAAGTAAATCATACAGCCTAAATGTCAGCCATTGACTTTAGCAATATCACAAAAACAAATATATTTAATCAGGCTAGAAAGTGATGAGTCTGGAAAAATAATACATAAAGAGGGTATAACCTAGAGACATTAAATTACAGAAGGCAAACATATGTCTGATGAGTAAACTAAGAATGTTTTTTTTATTCTAAATTCTTACTAAATCCAAGCAATGTCCTGGTCTCAGAAAAAGCTTGTCATTTGTCCACCATCAAATTTTGAAAATTTTGAATGGAAAAGATCTCTGTTTGCCAGAAAGCCAGCTCTCCACAAACTGTTGAAATCTAAACAAATGCAAATACCTGCAATTAAACTAAAAAAAACAAACAAACAAACAAACCATTGTGATCATTTGAATTACTGCTGAATAAGGACAAGAGCAAAACATGAACTGTGAAGATTAAGGCTCCATGCACACTAGCTTAAAAGAACACCAGTGCTCTTAGTAGACAAAAACTCTAATTTTGAGCATTTGTTTTTGTACTAGCGCTTAGCATTTTTTTTTCTGCCAGAAAAATACTCTCAAAAATGCAAAGCAGAAGTTTTTTTTCTCTGCTTCTAAATGCTGAGCTTAAAAATGCCTCTAGATTATGCACATTAGATAGTCAAAAAGCGTTTATTAAGACAGCATTAAAAACCAGACAGGAGTTTTACCACTCACCACTTCATCCAAAACTAAACTATATCAGGTAATAATGTTATCAAAAATGTAAGAAAATATGCAGAATACTTCCTGATACCCTTTGTTTATGCATTAGCATATGTCACAAAGATAAGATACAGTAACAAAATGACTTCAAATGTTTCACAATTAATGGGCAGATACTACTAGCCAGCCTGACCAATGAGTCTCTGTGCAGCAATATCTAACATCAACTAGTGAAGAAGTGAAGTATTAATTAGATGCAGAAGGTATATATCTACAACAAAAACAATGCAAATTTAACATAAATATATTTGGAATTAAATCTTAAAAACTACTTTCTATTTAATCAATGTATAGACAGGTGAAGGGCACAATTAGGTGTACTACCTGTAAATCGTCAAAAAGAAAAAACTCTTCTTAGGGTGGTGGAAAGGCACCAACAGTTTCTCTCAAGAGATGGCGATATAAACATCCCATATATTTATTTGGGAGAAATAAACGGACAATATATTAATTCTATGAGATGGCCCAGACAGATGCTTGAAGAACGTGAGAGCATCCTAAATGAAAATACAAACATAATAGATCAGGCATACCTAGCTATTTTGAACGTCAACATCTATAGGACACCTACAGTGGGTATAAAATAGAATTGCCCCCTTTAAAATAATCACATTGTGCTGCTTTGCACCCTGCAATGAAGATAAACAATGAAGACATTTAACTTATAATATCCAAGTGAAAGATATAAAACCAATATGTCAGAAAAAAAACAAAGAAACAACAAAAACAGAATTACTGAGATGGAAAAGGGATCACCCCCTTGTGTCAGTATTTTGTTGAACCACCCTTCACTTTAATTCCAGCCTGTAGTCTGTTGGGATATGTCTCTACTAACTTTGCACATCCAGACTTTGCAATATTTGCCCACTCTTCTATGCAGAAGTGCTCAAGTTCAGTTAAATTTGATGGTGAACGTTTGTGGACTTCAGTCTTCAAGTCATTCCACTGATTTTCAATGGGGTTTAAGTCTGGGCTCTGACTAGGCCATGCAAGGACATTTACCTTTTTTTACTTCAACCACTGTGTAGTCATCTTTGCTGTGTGCTGCTTTGGTCTATTGTCATGTTGGAAGGTAAACCTTCTTCCCATTGACAACTTTCTGGCTGAGGGAAGCAGATTTTCCTCAAGAATTTGACACTATTTTTGCCCCATCCATTTTTCCTTCTATCCTGACATGTGCTTCAGTCTCTGCTGCAAAGAAATAACAGGATATTACCACCCCCATGCTTTACTGTAGGAATGGTGTTATTTGGGTGGTGAGTGGGATTGGATTTCCGCCAGACATATCGTTTAGTGCTGAAGCCAAATAATTAAATTTTAGTCTCATGTGACCATAACACCTTTTTCCATGTGATGTCAGAATCTTCAAGATGCGTTTTGGCAAAGCTCAGTTGTGACTGCGTGTGGCCTTTCATGAGAAGTGGCTTTTTTCATGCCAGCCTTACAAGCCACATCTGTAGAGAATCTGTGATATTGTTGTCACATGCACACAATGACCACTTTTTGTCATAAATTCCTGCAACTGCTTCAGAGTTGCTGTAGGTCTCTTGGCAGCCTCTCTGACCAGTTTCCTTCCTGGCTCATTCATACAGTTTGGAGCGATGTCCTGATCCAGGCAGGGTCTGTGTTGTACCTTCTTCTACTTCTTAATAATAGACTTCATTGTGTTTATAGGCATTGATAAAGCCTTTGTATCCATCTCCTGACATGCTTGTCCACAACTATATCTTGGAGAACTTTTGACAGTGCCTTGCTACCCATAGTTGATTGTTTGCTTCAGTTGCACTATCAGGGACTGAAATGCTCCAGGAAAGCTCTTTTCATGCTGTGCCAATCAAAATGATCACAGCTGATCACAGTTGAAAGTCAAATGGCTTTGTGTGCCATTGAGAAGGTGATTAGCTACACCTGACTGAGTTTACAAGTCATTTTTTTTAGCAGGAGGGTGATCCTTTTTCCAACTCAGCAATTCTGTTTTTGAATTTTTTTTTTTGTCAGGTTGGTGTTATATCTTTCACTTGGATGTTATAAGTTGCACTGAGTAAATACAGCTGTATAAAACAAAAAACAGGTCTTCATTTCATACTGCAAAACAAAGTGTGAATATTTTAAAAGGGGGTGATTCTTTTCTATACCCACTGTATACACCAAAATCTATCCCAACTTCACATCTACAAATTTTCTGTTTCAATAGAGCACAATCCATAAGAAACAGGATACCAATAAGGCAATTCCTACAAACCAGAAGGAATTGCTCACTGAATGAAGGAATGTCTACATTTTTTAAAAAGATTCACAAAAACAGATACCCTCAGAGATAACTGAACAGAGCCTATTAAGAACAAAAAAAGATGATTGGGACACCCTCTTAAATAACAAACTAAAGATGAGGGAGGTAAAATAATACAACTGATTGAAATATTCTCAAGCAAAATACCAGCTCCATCTCGATGTGACACTATAGATCCTCCCAATATAACATACCGAAGGCAATGAAACTATCTTATATTGAATTCAGACACTTTCAAGCATCAGTATAATCCTGCCAAGAATGTGGCTTGTACCACCAGAAAAAGGTTCAAATCAACTTGGCCATTGCAAGACCTGTCAGTAGGCAAAGATTAATAAATGCTAAACCCAAGATATCTGGAAGAAGCAGGAATCTGGGATTTCATAAACTGAAGCACAATCAGGGCTATGAAATGTTCCTCTTCTCTAAGGACCCATTTACATCTATGTGACATTCTTATGCAGATTTTTTTCATGCTTTTTTCACGTTTGTCGTGCATCATCTTAGGGCAAACTCATTCACTTGAATGGGCTGCTCTACGCCTGACAAGTGCACAAAAGTAGCTCCTGCGAGAGACCCAGATGCTGATACCCATCGGAAGGTAAAAACAGAACTTGGTATGTCCTATGAAGAGCATGAAAAAGGAACATGGTCTCTGGCCCAGCCTTAAAATTTATGGGAGTGGGGTCCTATGGGATAGGAGCGAGGGTGACGCTACTCAAATGTATGCTGCCACGGACAGTCAGAAAAATAAATTTTTGACTGTAGGGGAAAAAAAAAAGAAAATAACACGATAACAAATCCTGAATGCGTTATGCTTCTGGAAATAATGTACATAGCCACACCAATCCTTAGCTTTGCATGTTTTTCCTGCCTGCACTTGCAATCTTCCAGAAGACAATGTCAAGGGAATCCCCCATTCATTAGGTAAATTAGCAAATGTGTGCCTGAGCACAAGAAGGATCGGAGTTTAAAGTTAGGAAGGTTGCAAGCTGTAACCGTTGAGCTCCCCTTCTGAAAATACTATTTCCACAGCAGTAATACTTATTCAGTAGCTTCAGTACTTTCCAAGTCACTGTCCTGAAAAAAGAATGCAATGTAGAAGCTTCAGCCTGATTTTTCTTTTTGTTTCCACTCGGTGTACCAAAAAATATTTACAACCAAACTCCAAGCAAATGGAAAAACACAGCTGAGATACATCTATGGGAGCTATTTTACTTTTTTGCCTTTTTTTAAATGGCCCTACCAGACAGTACAGCCAGGATGGTGACCTGACTTTCCTCTAATGCAGTTAAATACTATTGTCTGGCCACCTCCCTATGGCAGAAATTTGACAGAAAAGCAAATGTAATTAACAATAACTGCATTAAATGTTTTTTTATATCTGCCTGGACTTACCTAACCTCCAGGCTTTTATATGTCACCTCTACAATCATGGTTACATGCCTGACATTTCCTTACTAGCCCTGATCCCTCCTCTACCCAAACACATACTAATGAGCACACAAGCATGCTTATACATGGCAGTACAATAAAGTAGCATTGCAACTCTAAAATGTACAAAATTAGAATGGTCAATTTAACTACACCCCCCACTCCTCCAATAAGTGCTTCTGAGTGTCTCTAAGGCCGGCCATACATGGCTCAAT